CCTAAGGGTACTCTATCACTGAGCTATACTCCAATTTAATTTTAATTTTTATTTATTTATTTTAGGTAGATTAGAACATGTCAAATGTATTTATTTACTTCGATATTATAGGTGAAGTTCATGAAATGCTTTGATGAAAGTCACTGAAATCACAAAAATGTCACAAATAACTTTCAGAGTCTGAGAGAACAGCTCACCAACATGTAATATGTCAAAACTATGAGAAATACAACAATCTGGTGTAAGGAAATGCCTGATAATTCTGATAACAGCACAATTATGATACATTGTCAGTTTAATAGACTTCACTATTGCCATGGTCACTAAATTATTCAAATTTAATATATTTCTACACACAGTATTTATTTTTATTTTGAGACAGGGTCTTGCTAAGTTGCATTGCTGAGACTGGCCTCTACCTTACAATCCTCCTATCTCAGCCTCCCAAGTCACTGGGATTACAGGTGTGCACTACTACCTCTGGCTAAAAAGAAATCTATAAAAGTAGCATATGGGGTTAAACATGGCCACTTGACCACAAATGTTTAACTCTTGTCCTCCTCAAAACTACTGTTATGACAGTAAAGAAGGTTTATTGCTGTTTTGAGATTGCATCTTGCTGTGTTGCCCAGGCTGGCCTTGAACTCCTTGGCTCAAGTGATCTACCCACCACTGCCTCCCAAGTAGCTGGGACTACACACAGGTGCATGCCACCATGAGTGACAGGAATGAAACTATCTTTCTTTTTTTTTTTTTTTTTCTAGATGTCTCTTCTTTTTTTTAAATTTTTATTTATTTTTTAGTTTTCGGCGGACACAACATCTTTGTTAGTATGTGGTGCTGAGGATCGAACCCGGGCCGCACGCATGCCAGGCGAGCACGCTACTGCTTGAGCCACATCCCCAACCCGAAACTATCTTTCTTTTCTTTTCCTTTTTCTTCCCTTCTTTTCCCTTCTCTTTCTTTCTTTTTCTTTTCTTTTCTTTCTTTCCTGGGGCTTGAACCCAGAGGCACTCTTAACACTGAGTTGTATTTTTTTATTGTTTATTTTGAGACAGAGGCTTGCTAAGATGCTGAGCTGGCCTCAAACTTGTGATCTGCCTGCCTCAGCCTCCAGAGTGGCCGAAATAATAGGTATATGCCAAGATATCCAGTCCAGGTAGTGAAACTCAATTTATTTGGTACTGGGGATTGAATCTAGGGTGCTACACCACAAAGCTAGACTCTTAGCCCTTTTGAAATATTTTTTTTGTTTTGTTTTGAGATGGGGTCTTGATAAGTTGCTGAGGGTCTCAATAAGTTGCTGAGACTGGCTTGAATTTGTGATCTTCCTATTTTAGTGCCACCATGACTGAAACTTTAAAAGGTTTAATCCTAGCCTGGTGTGATTACAAATGGCTCACATTTGTAATCCCAGCTACTCCTAGGGCTGAAGCAGGAGAGTTGCAAGCTGGAGGCCAGCCTGGGTAATTTAGCAAGACCCTATCTCAAAAAGGATGGTGGGTACTGGGTTTTGAGCTCAATGCTAGAATGCTTATCTAAGCACGCTCAAGGCTCTGGTTTTTATCTCCTGTAACCGCCCCCCCCCCCACCACATGCATGTAGACTTAAACTTGCAAGGACAAAGAGAGAACAAGAGAGGAACATCAGATTAGGAATATTTTTTTAATATTTATTTTTTAGTTATAGTTTTATTTAATTAATTAATTTATTTATTTTTAAGTAGTGCTGAGGATCGAACCTAGGGCCTCTCACATGCTAGGTGAGTGCTCTACTGCTGAGCTACATACAACCCCAGCCCCAGATTAGGAATAATTTTAACACATTACTGGAAGCTGGTAAGAGGGGGAAGCTTTCTGCAGAGGGAGATATCAATAAGTACTGAGTTCTTTAATATCACATCACCCAGGAGAGGCTTGGCACTTGAAGCTAAATGGTTCTTCCTGAAAGGCAAAGAGGAGACCAAAGACTGAAAATAAGGGAAAGGTTTTAAAAACTGAACAAAGGACTTGGACTGCTTAGGTCTCTTCCCATTCCTGCTGTACATCCCCTATCTTGCCCTCCAAGGAAAGAGACCAGAAGTAGTCCCTGGACTAAGTGAATCTGAAAGGCGGGGGGCAAAGTGCAGGGCACTGAAGCAGGGAGATTCAGTGGGAGTTGCATACTGAATAGACAGCCTCTTCCTCTCACCTTGCTCCCAAATATATCAGCAAATATAACTTAGTCCTCAGGTAGGAGGTTAGAGAATATTTCTTTTTTTTTATTGTTTTTTTTTTTTTAAATTTATTTTCTAGTTCTCGGCAGACACAACATCTTTGTTTGTATGTGGTGCTGAGGATCGAACCCGGGTCACACGCATGCCAGGCGAGCGCCCTACCGCTTGAGCCACATCCCCAGCCCGAGAATATTTCTTTTGAAAACTGAATGATCCCAGAGAAAATAATTCCCCAGAGTAGACATGACAGGGTTCCACAAGAAAAAAGATAGCTAGCTGCCATTTATTCTACTGAAATACATAGTAGTTAAAAGCATGGGTTCTAGAAATAAACATTTTTTTCCCTACACTGGAATTGAACCTGAGGCCTTGCATGGCTTCTTGGGTTTGAGTTTAGACTTAGCAACTTAAAACTATTTGTGCCTCTGTGTTCCCATTTGTTGAGAGGGGGATATTTGTATTGCTTAGCTCAAAGTTGTTGTGAGGGTTAAATCAGTTAGTACCTACAAAGCACTGTTGATAGTAGAAAAGGGATTACCTAGGGATTTTCCTAGCTGCCAAAGGAATTTAGATCATTCCCCAATGGTGACCAGTAACACTTTCCACTTAGGGTGGTAGATTGAATGTGAACTGAGACTTTGATCCCACTGAAAGCACCTTTTCCCAGTCTTTTTCCCAACTCCATCTTTTAAGAACTTTGCTGAACTTTAAGACTGACTGGAACATTACGATCTTACTATTCATTTATCTAATAAATGTTTATTAAGTGCCAGTTTAATCTGCAGGAATGACAGCAGTGAACCAGCTCAATAATAAAAACTAACATTTATTGAGTTTTTTACTAAACACTTGGTTCTTTTCTGAGTACTTTATTTTTTTTTCTTTTCTTTTTTTTTAAAGAGAGAGTGAGAGAAGAGAGGGAGAGAGAATTTTAATATTTATTTATTTATTTTAGTTTTCGGCGGACACAACATCTTGTTTGTATGTGGTGCTGATGATCGAACCCGGGCCGCACGCATGCCAGGCGAGCGTGCTACCGCTTGAGCCACATCCCCAGCCCCCTGAGTACTTTACATATATTGTTTAATTCTCAAAACAACCCTCTGAAACAGATGAAGTTATTATCCCTATTTTACAGATAAGGAAACTGAGACATAGAGGTTAGGTGAATTTTCCAGTCACACAGCTAATAAACATCAGATAAGAATCAAACCCAGGCTGTCTGACCCCCACCCAGTATTGGCAATGGAACCCATGGGTACTGTACCACTGAGTTACATTCCCAGTTCTTTTTATTTTGAGAAAGGGCCTTGCTAAGTTGTTGAGGCTGGCCTTGAATTTGTGATCCTCCTGCTTCAGCCTCCAGAGTTGCTGGGATTACAGGAGTGTGTCACTGCACCCAGCTCAGTCTGGCTTCTGAGTCTGTGTTTTTAACCATTATGCTTTTCTACTTTCATGGAGTTTATGTTGTGGAAAGGGGAGACTGACATTAACTAAACAAAGGAAATAGATATCAAGTAGTGATGGGTGTTGTGATGAAATATAACACAAAATGTTTTAGATGGACATGATGGTGCACACCTCTAATCCCAGCTACTTCAGAAGTTGGGTCAGGAGGATTAAAAGTTCAAGGCCAGTTTGGGCAACTAACAAGACCCTGTCTCAGAATAAACTAAAAAGGTCTGAGGGTATAGCTCAGTGGTAGCATGATTGCCTAGTATGCACAAGGCCTGGTTCAATCACTAGTACCAAAAAGGAAAAAAAAAAAGAGATTGTGATAGGGGGACTGGCAGAAGATAGCTTTAGGTAGGTTGTCCATATTTATGAACATCAAGTGGGATATTTTTAAAGAATTATCATAAAAGAATTGCTTGGTTTTTTTTAATATTTGTTTTTTAGTTGTAGTTGGACACAATACTTTTATTTATTTATTCATTTATTTATTTATTTTTATGTGTTACTGAGGATCAAACCCAGGGCCTCGCATGTGCTAAGTGGCTATCACTGAGCCACAACCCCATCCTGAATTGCTTGTTTTTGCAGACTTGCAAAATATCCTTTCCATGATTTGACTCTTTTTTTCCCCTGCTCAATGCTTTATTCATTCAGATCACTCAATACAATTTCACTCTACAGGTTCTTAATCAAGTAAACGACAACCCTTAATGCTGGGCACTGCAGTCATGATTTGACTCTTAATGCTACCAACACATTGTAATATTTCTAATAAAAAACAGAAAACAGTTCTTATGCATTGATAGTTGACTGTGTTTGAGGAAACTATACTAAGCAATTTGCATAGACTATTTCACTTATAGCAATGCTATACCTAATTCTTATTTTTTAGCCAGGGAAAGTTAAAACTTAAAGAGACCAAGTGGCAAAACCAGGATTGGAACCAATATAGCCTGTTCCAGAGTTCTATCCAAGGGGGAGAAAGAATATGTTAGATAGGTTAGTAGAAATTTTCACATCACCTCTTTTATTTATTTCATTAAATACTTAACCCTTTTGTAGATTAAAGTGGTTTGTTTAAGGGAACTCTTGGTAGCATTTAAAGTGTAATTCAATGGGCTAGGGGTATGGCTCAGTGGCGGTGTGCTTGCCTAGCATATGTATATACAGGGCCTTGAGTTTTGATCCCCAACACTTTAAAAAAAGGAAAGTTCGGGCTCCACTCGTCTCACCAGCTGGTGAAGTTTGAGGTTTTAGTCTCAGGGCTACAGTTTTTTTTCCTCCCAAGCAACAGTGGGAGCAACTTTTTTGAGGGTTTGCTCACCTCCCAATGGACCCATTGCAAAAATTTAACCCAACCTCGACCCAGGAGTCTTTTCTGATGTCTGAAAATGAAGAAAATTCAGTGGACTCTCATCCAGTCAGTTCAGAAATGCTAGTAAAGAAACTTCATGACTTGACTCTGAATCCTTGTGCTAAATGCCCATCCTCTCTGCCAGAAGGTCCACCCCAACCACTGGACAGGAGTGAGAGGGTCTTACGGGAGGTCAGAAAGGGCTTTCCCAACAGGCAGCGAGGAGTCCGGACATTGTTATCTGCACGGAAAGACCGCGTGGAAAGATGGAGATATCTCCTAAGTCTTCAAAAAAAAGAAAGAGACAACAATCTTAAGGAAGTTCAGAGTGAATCATGAAGTGTACCATTCAAATGTACCTGCAGTTTTTGCGTATATCATGGATGGGATCCTTCTGAGAATGCTAGAATAGGGTATGGTTAGGACACAGAGTCAATATAGGCGTAAATTGTACTTGTTCTCCATGATGGTAATTTTAGGCACACTTTTCTATGCTTAGACTGCATACCAATGATTTTGAATAGCTTATGTATGAGTTCTGCGATGTCTTTATTCTTTTGCATCCTTTTTTTTTTTTTTTTTTTTTTGGGTGTTAGGGATCCCTTCATGCCTTAATGCCAGTAATTTATAAGGAATCTGAGCAGTTAAAATGTGCATAAATGATTTCAATATACTTTAGTTTTTCTTTTCTGTTTGACTCAAAGAAGTACCAATAGGTCTCAAGTCTTCCCGGAGATTTTAAAAGCCTGAAATCTGAAATAAAACTCAGGAACTGGAAGAGATGTAAAGAGAATATTGGATAGTTTGATTAGAGTGTAATAATTAGAGTAGATAATTAGATTTTCTGGTTTTCAAAAATTTGAGTTGCAATAAAAAGAAATTTTGATGTGCTGTTTTAATTTTCAGTAGCAAATAAATGTGTATATAGAGGAAAAAAAAAAGGAAAGTTCAATTAAAGAAACCAAATAGGACTTTGTTAATCATTATGTCATATAGACAGTCATCTAAATGTGTTATTCAGTTTAAAAATGGGGACTCATATATGTGTGTGGTGTATATATACTTACATATTTAACTTCTCATTTCACTGAAATTTGATGAATATACCAGATAAAACTTACTACTGCTTGAACTTTCAGTAGACAATTTATATAAGTTAATGATAAATTTTCTGAGTGTAATACACTCCTTGGACTGTTAATAGGAAAAGATGTATCTTATAGTCTGGGTAGCTCAGGATGGGAGGTAATTGCTTTCCTTTTATAAGTATCCTAAAAATTTAAATGATATAGAGAACAAAATTTTCACATAAATTTTCAAGAAGACTCAGTTTTAGTACCTTTATTTTCCTTAAAAATTTAAATTGCCTTATAAACATTAGGTGTCATATGATCCTTATAAAACAGCCTGCTAGAACTAGGCATGTCCCAGGATTCTTACAGAACTGGATTAACCAACCTGGTATTTGAACTTCTTTGAGGAATATATGTGGATTGTGAGTTTTTATGAGTTGGACACCACATGAGTTATTACCGTCTTAATTTATTTTATTAAACCTGAATACTAATGATGTAGGGGTTCCTTTGTGGATTTTCCAACTAGATCTGAATCAGTTTTTTATCCAAGGGGGAGAAAGAATATGTTAGATAGGTTAGTAGAAATTTTCACATCACCTCTTTTATTTATTTCATTAAGTAATGTACGTTTATTGGAGAAAACAAAATACAGCAAAATATTATAATAGTGCTACTAATATCAGTATAACTATTTAGTCTTCCAAACTTTCCTATGCAAATATACATATGCATGTAAGATTATGTGGTGGCACATGCCTGAGGCAGAAGAATTGCAAGTTTAAGGCCAGCCTGTGCAGCTTAGCATGACCTTGTCTCAAAATAAAAAGGGCTGGGGGTGTAGCTTGAGGGTGGGACATTTGCCTAGCATGCATGAAGCTCTGAGTTAAATCCCCGGTACTGCAAAAAAAATAAAAAATAAAAAGAAGACTCATTATTTAATATAATTATTGATAGTCTTTGTATGTCAGGAAATTTAAATTTATTTATTCATATTTTTATTGGTGTATTATAGTGGTACATAATGGTGGAATTTGTTGTTAGATATTTGTATATGCACATATGGCCAATATTATTCCCTAATATTTCCTCTTTCCCTCCCTCCCTCCTTCCC